TAGGAATTCAAGATGTGGGATTAAGTAGGAGATACCAGCACCAGAACAGATTCAAATACTCGATTGAAGACAACATTCCTTCAATCGACTGGGGCGGAGGGGAGAAGCCCCAATTTCTTATTTCTTTGTCGCTTTTCCATTTCCACTGAGTTGAGACAGGGTGTAAATCACAGCTTTCCATGTGTGATTGTGTGACTATGGGGAAGTTGCTTAACACTTCCGTGCTTCGGTTTCCTGATCTATAAAGTGGGAATAGTGATAATAATAGTGCCTTCTTCACAGGGTTGTTGTGATGATCAACTAAGTTAACATACGAAAGCACTTGGTACCAGCACCTGGTAAGTGGTAAATAAATGTTCTTGCTGTTATTTTGTTCATCCTACCTTTTAAACGTCTCATTCTTCCTTGTGTGCCTGTTGTTTCATTTCTGGATTATGTTGAAGCTAAAGACCAGTGGGTTCCATCAAGATTAATTCTAAAAGAATTGGGAGCTCATAAAGGATGAAAATGAAATTAAACTAGTCTATGGGGCGCCGGGGTGGCTCATTCGGTTAAGCGTCTGACTTCGGCTCAGGTCATGATCTCACAGCTGGTCAGTTCCAGCCCCGTGTCGGGCTTTGTGCTGACAGCTCAGAGCCTGGAGCCTGCTTCAGATTCTGTGCCTCTGTCTCATTTTGCCCCTTCCCTGCTCACGCTGTCCCTCTCTCTCTCTCTCTCTCTCTCACAAATAAATAAACATTAAAAAAACTTAAGAAAGAAAAAAAAGAAATTAAACTAGTCTCACAGTTACTGTCAATACTTCTTATAAACACACAGTGTTTAGAAACTGGGGATTAGAGTTTAAGAAGAGAACCTATTGTCAATCAATGTCAACGTGAAACTGCTTTGGAATGGTGGGCCAAACACCCACCTGAAATCGAGTCCCCAGAAATCCCCCAGAGGAGCCCAGCAACCTCTTACATAGATGGGCCTTTCTACCGTGGCCCACATCACCCCCTGCCCTTCCCCTTCCCGGGATGTAGCAGGAGGGCCAAGGTGAGAACCATGTGCAGACTGTGTGTAGGGTCGGGGTAGGACACTGCTTCTGAGGTGGAACTTGAATTTCAATAAGATGGCTATGTTTCCATTTTGCTTATTGCAGGCTAATATGAAAATTCGCCATCCAAATGCTTGCTGCCTGTCTGACTCTCTCAGGGTCTCATTGTGGTCCTGCAGACACAGCCCTGAGCACCTGTTCTCTGGCAAGCCTCGGTGCACGTCTCCTCTCTCTCCTTCCTCAGTGCCACCAGGGGGACCAGGTCTCTGTGCCCTCAGCTTTCCTCATCTGTCCCAGCTTCACTGTGAAGCCCTCTACTACTGCTCTACCATCCACTGTAATTCTGTGTTCTCTTTACAAGCTGCCGTTGTAAAGCGAAATGTACTCTTTCAAAAATGTATATTCATTGCTACCCACCGTCTCTGAGGAGGAGTGATATATATACTTTGCTTTCATATACAGAAATAAAACCACAACTATAAGGATTTTATGTGTGGCTAGTTTGGGAAATAAGAAGGATTGGTACAGTATATAATTAAAAAAAAAGAGTTAACTTACAGTTTACTAGTTTTATGTTTGGCCACTTCTATCGTGGGCACATTTTGTATCAGGCTCCTATATTTTCATGTTTGTTCTTGCACAGCAGTTCTTAAAGGAACATTTCTTATGCTATAGTACTAAATTTATCTGGTGGTCACCCTTATACCATATTAATATTAATATTTTATGAGAAATGTCCCATTTGCTAAAGAGGGAAGATGAAATATGTGCATAGAATTCATGTACCAATTTAGACATGTTTAAAATTTTTTGTATCTTGAAATAATTATAGACTCACAGAAAGTTGCAAAAGTAGTATGTAGCGTCCCGTGTATCATTCCTGCAGCTTTCCCCAGTGATGACGTATTACACAGCAGGAATATGATATCAAACCATGAAATTGACATTGGTACAATACTGTTACCTAGACTGCAGATCTCTTTTGGTTTTCACCATTTTTATGTGCACTCATTAGTGTGTGTGTGTGTAGTTGTATTCAATTTTATTCTGTGTAACCACCAACACAATTGAGATGAAGAACTGTTCCCTCACCACAGAGTAACTCTCTCATGCTGGCCCTTTACATTTGCATGCCTTGGCAACTCCTAATTTCTGTCTCTCTGTCTCTATAGTTTTACCATGCTGGGGATTTTGTGTAAATTAAAGCCTACAGTATGTAACCTTTAGAGAGTAATTTTGTTTTTCATTAAGCATAATGCCCTTTAGATCTGTCTGGGGTGTTGCATGTGTTGATAGTTTGTATTTTTTATTTTTATTGCTGAGTAATATTCCATTGTGTGAATAGACCAGAGATTATTTAACTGTCATTGTTTTATTCTCTCTCATTTTTGGACTCATTTTTGTTAGTCCTCGAGCTGCTGATTTTCTGTGATAGCTCTTACATCTAAGGAAGCCAACCTATCCTTCAGTGCATTGAAATAGAATTCTAGCATGTCAGAGCTTATGCATGAATTTACATTCCAGTATATTCTCACCTCTTTCAGTAGCATTTGTTGACCAGCTATTCTCTAATCTTTACTTTCTATCATAGATTCATCACTTTGCATCTGGTTTTTTTTATGTACTCATATACATCATATATATGTGGAATGGTATCAAATTTTTAGCACAGAGTTCTTTGTCCGGCATGATAATAAATAATGAAATGTTTTAAATAATTTTAATTTCTGTTATTAGTAATGGAAATCATATTCATTATAGAAGTTTCCCATGAACAAACAAGATTTTATTTATTAAAACATTTTTTAATGTTTATTTTTGAGAAAGAGAGAGAGAGAGAGAAAGAGAGAGACAAGAGCACAAGCAGGGGAGGGCCAGAGAGAGAAGAGAGGGAGACAGAGAATCTGAAGTAGGCTCCAGGCTCCAAGCTGTCAGCACAGAGCCTGATGCGGGGCTCGAGCTCACGAACTGTGAGATCATGACCTGAGCCTATTTTGGATGCTTAACCGACTGAGCCACCCGGGCGTCCCAAAGAGAAGGAGATTTTAAAATTACCCCAAATCCTGCCACATGGGAAAAACTGGTATTTAATATTTTATTGTAAATGCCTCTAGGGCCTTTGGAACATTTCAGTTTCCTATTCCTCAGTAATAAACTGCCTCTCCTCTAGACCTTACCTGTGTTAGTCAGGTGTCCAGATGCAGAATCAGACTGTGTGTGTGCACCCTGTGCTTGAGGGTCTAAGATGTGACCAAAGGAACCAGAGCCATGTGCTCTCTCTGTTTTTCTAGTCCAGACCTCAGTGTTGAACAGAAGCCCATCTTCTTTCCTTACTGGTGAGCTGATTCAGAATTTGCAGGAACCTCGATAAATCACTTTGTATCCTCCCCTCCTCCCTACTCTTCCCTGAGACTTGGGGCACCTCCAGCCCCAAGCTGACACCCTTTCCTGAGAACCCCTCCCTGACCCAGCTTGGCCTTTCAAGGTAAGGGTGCCCCTCTCCCAAGCCGAAGTCACCCACAGTTTCCATCTCTCGATACGAATCCCAAGGGAAAGAAGGGATCCAGCAGCAGGAGTAAGAAAAAGGTTACATATGTCGTTCCTGTCATAGAAGCCTCTGATGCCAGAGCACTGGATTTTGGGGTCCTAAAGATGACCTTCCTCAGTGTCTGGCAGAGTTCTCCCCCTTGAGGTTAGAGGGAGAAGAGGGCTGTGGTCGGACTGCCCCTTGCGGGCATCTGGCACTCTCCAAGAGGGAGTGTTCACATTCCCATCCTGCCACTGCTGTGTGCTCACATGCCTTGCTCAGAGAACACGTTCGGCAGTCATTATGGGCTCACCAAGTCCTTCTTCTTCCACTCAGGGGAGCAGATTGAAATGTGAACTGACATTATCACAGGGATAGCCTTAAATCGTCTCTAGTTTATGAAAATAATGAAATCGATCGCCAACTTGCTGCTAATATTGGTTACAAATTGCTAGGGCCCATCCCCCAATTGATCCCGGTGCCCCGGTGTCTCAGTCCTGTCGTGTCCTAGGCCTTACCACCCTTTAGAACTGCATCATTCCTGCATTCCTGAGCTCGGATGTCCTAGTCCTTCACTTAAATCGTGGCCACCTTTTCCTTCCTGCTCCTGCCAGCTGTCCTTGCTGCCCTCTCTTCAACCCATTCACCGCAGGACTAAGACAGAGTGGTCTTTCTGAAGGGCACAGCTATGTGTTGCTGGTCCTCCCTGGCTCACCAGTATTACCAGGACGGCACCCAGAGTCACTACGAGGTGTCTACTAGTTAGTTCTCTAGCCTCATGACGTCTCCCCCCAGCCATTCTAAGCCTCCAATATTTCCCAGAGGGCAGTTCCTGCCTCCACATCTTCCCACGTGTCGTTCCCTCTGCTGAGATGTTCTTTGTCTTTTGGCCTTCAGAGTCCAAGGAAGCCTTACTGTCTTTTGAAAAGAGGTCTGTGGTGCTTTCTAGTGAAACTCTATGCTCCCTTGGCTCCTTAGGTGAGCCCGTAGCACAGCTCTGCCGACTGTTAGTAAGTAGATGGTCATCTTGTCCACCGTGCCCTTATTACTGTACTGCAAATATTTTCAAAGAGATCATGTTCTGTTTGGTCTTGCATCCTTAGTGTCTGAAAAGAGTAGATGTTCAACACCTATTTGCTGGATCAAGCAGTATAATTAAAAACCTCCCCATGGTTTTTTGTTTTTGTTTTTGTCTTACACCGGTGTTCAGATTTAAAACAAAATTCTTTCTCAGCAGTTTTGTCAAACAGATCACATTAGACCCACTGTGTTTGTTTTCCTCAAGTTTGTGTTTCTCCCTGTGAGAAGCGATCTTTACAAGCACTGCGCCAAATAGCACTTGTCTTAGGGGGGGTTTCTTGAAATACCGCCTGTGGAAGTTTTGAACGCATGTTATGAGTTGACCCCTCTTGACACTCACGATTTCTCTCATTATCAGAATAAAACTGTGAGAATCACACCCGTGGCTGGATGATTCTTCAATACAGACAAAACTCTACCGTTGAATATCATTGCCCAGCTTTGTTGATACCTGAGCATGTTTGATTAATTATTTTTTGACATTCACTCTACTGGATTTTCTTCCCCCTGTAAACTGTCTTCGGTCTTTACTAGTTCTTTAAAAGCACCATTGTTAGGGCTACGTATTGTGACTTTGCCTTGCCGTAGTGGCCTTATCTTTCCACTTAAACTTTAGGTGACCCAACCGCAGCGCTTCCCAAACTCGAGTGGGCATCAGAATCACCTGAGGCCTTGTTAAAACTGCTGGGCTCCGCCCCAAGTTTCTGATTCAGTGGGTTTGGAGCAGGGCTGGGAATTTCCATGTCTTAACAGGTCCCAGTGATTCTGCTACGGCTGATACGGGACTGTGCTTGGAACTCTGCTTTCCCGGCATGCCTAGCGCGCCAGTTTTCACAGCTGTGGCCACTCAACTCACACTTGCTGATCCTCTGGCGCACAGCTAGGAAGGAGGATAAGGCCTTTAGTGGGTCCGGCGCCACGGACCAAGCGGTTCGCTGCGGTTCGCTCCGTGTTCCGGCTCCCAAACTTTGTCCTTTTCTGGATTCCTTGCTGACAGACTGCTTCCCGTGGGACTACGGTACTTGGATTTCCCTTCTTCCTGTTTGTTAAGAGTTGAGAGTTTCCCTGTTGGGTGCCAGCGTTTCTGGCATCTCGGCCTTGCTCAGTTCTTGCCCGGCGCTCCTCCTTGTTAGCTGGGCTTGGCTGCAGCAGGTACTCCAGGCTACCTTGTTTTTGCTTTTCAGGCGTTGAATGTTTATTCAGTTGAACAACTTTGTTGTTATTTATGACTGTCGCTTTATTTCCCCCTTTCTTGTTTTCAGTGTTGTTTTTAGGCCCCTCAGCCCCGGGCTCCCTCTCCCTCGTGTCCTGAGACTCAATTCTGGCTTTTCCTACAGGATGAGATCATGCAGTGTGGCTGAAAGGTTTTAGTGCCACCTACATCAGAACTTTGATCAAGATAAGTATGGTTGACTCTTGAAAAACATGGATTTGAGCTGTGTGTGTCCCCTTGAGGATTCGTTTTGATACGGTGCTGGAAATGTATTTTCTCTTATGATTTTTCTTAACATTTTCTTTTCCCTATATTACTTGCTTATAAGTGTACAGTATATTCTACAGATGATACGCAAAATAGGTGTTAATTGGCTGTTGAGGCAGGGCTTGGAGTCAATAGTATGCTAATAGTAAGTTATTGGAGAGTCAAAGGTTAAATACAGATTTTCGCCTGTGTGAGGGGTTGATGCCCCTAACTTCTGTGTTGTTCAAAGATCAACTGCACAAGGGCACCTGGGCGGCTCAGTCAAATGTCCGACTCTTGATTTTTGCTCGGGGCTTGATCTCACCGTTCGGCTCTGGAGATTGAGCCCCACGTTGGGCTCTGAGCTGACAGGGCGTAGCCTGCTTGGGATTTTCTCTGTCTCCCTCTCTCTCTGCCCCTCCCCTGCTTGCGTTCTCTCTTTCTCAGAATAAACAAATAAATTTAAATGCATAGCTTCAGGCCATACTTCAGACCTACTGAATTAGCATCCACGTTTTCACAAGAGCCCCGGGTGATGTGTATGCACATTGGAAAGAACTGATCTCTCGTATAGCTCCTATAGGGTCAGTTGCTCCTGCCCGACTAAGCGTGACTCAGTCTTAGCATGTACCTTTTTTCAGCTTAATCACCACTGATGTAATTACTGCTACCTTTTGTTGGACGGATTTCCCGCTGACAGTGTGGACTATGACAAACAACCCATAATCGGGCAGGAGTCTAGAAGCGCTTTGTGTATGTTTTGAGAGTTTTTACTTGGGATATTTCTTTGGCAGGACTTTGCCAAAGTTACCAACATACCAAAGGAATCTTTCTATATGTTTGTTTGCCATGATCTTAGGTGCACTTGGATGGGAAGCAGCCCGAGGCTCCATGTTGGACGAGCACTACCCCACATGCAACACTATATTACAGGTGCTTAATTTAATGCTGGCCCATAGTAGGTGGCCACTGAAACATCTCTCACCAGCATTTAACTTGGAGAAAATGTTGAAAGTGGATCAGGTTGGGGGAACTAATTGTACCCCAGGGCTTGTGTGGTGAATGGGGTCAACAGTAGTGGTCTGAACAGTGACAGGTGACTGGTCTTGTTGCCCGATGTTTATCTTTCTAGGAACAGGACTCCAGCCTGTGACTAAGAGTCAGGAGGTCAGCCCCAGTCACTGTGGGGAGACGGTTATGAAGACGCATATGGAGTGTCAGGACCTCAGTCAAGACTGCCTGGGTTCAGAATAGGGCAAGCTGGAAAGGCCCTTATTTATTAGCAGTGCAGTGGAAAGAACATGGGTTCTAGAGTCCAACTTGGGTCTGCACCATAGGCCTGCTTCCTCCAAGCTGTGTGACCTTGACTAACTTAACCTCAGATGGTCTTCCTAGTCCAAAGAGATTGCATGTAAAGGGTCTAATACAGGGCTTCAAATAGATGATTAAGTAAATGGTAGTTGCTAATATGCTTATTATAATTAAAGGCAGTCTTGGGGCGCCTGGGTGGTGCAGTCGGTTAAGCGTCTGACTTCAGCCAGGTCACGATCTCGCGGTCCGTGAGTTCGAGCCCCGCGTCAGGCTCTGGGCTGATGGCTCAGAGCCTGGAGCCTGTTTCCAATTCTGTGTCTCCCTCTCTCTCTGCCCCTCCCCCGTTCATGCTCTGTCTCTCTCTGTCCCAAAAATAAATAAACGTTGAAAAAAAAATATATATAAAAAAAAAGGCAGTCTTACTCTTAATTGACAACATGGACCTCAGGAATGTTCAGGTTCATTGAATTCCCAAGGTTAGATCAAAAAGGCTTAATCGTGACAGTTTGTTGGAAGATTGGGTAGCTACTGTACATTTGGCCAGCAGCTGGGCAAAAGGGACCATGCTTACTCAAAGAACCGGTACTTAGGTGGGTTGGAGAAGATGATGATAGTTCTTAGTGCCAACTGGGCAGCACTAAAAAACTGAGAGCAGTATGGGGCCGCTGGCAGTCACAAAGGCTGGGTTATATGCATCGGCTACTGTTAAGGTCTGTGGCTTTTGACAAGTAGGTTTATTACTCTTGTCTCCATTTGTCCGTCTGTAAATAGGGGAATTGAAGGAGATGCCCCTGCAAGTAATGGGCAGTTCATATTTTTACAGGTGTTCACAATAAAATGGAATTGAGTGGGAATTCTGTGTGTAATTTTAATCAGTACAATTTTCATGATTGTATGTAGCATTTGTCAGTGGTTATTTATAGACTTAAATTGAAGTGCAGGTAACCTCAGGTCCTCAGGCAGTCAGTGAGGTGGAGCCCTGGTGATAAGGGAGATGGACTGAGGCTAAATGTCAGAGTTGAATTTCATCCTTGTTCTTAAACCTCCTGAAATTCTGGAACCAGTCCCTTCCATTGCAGTAGCAACTAGATTGAAAGGGACTGTTAAACCTTCACCTGTAGTATTTCTTTTCAAAAAGGATTAAGTCTGAAAGATTGAAATGTTTTTTTATTACAATGAGTTCTTAGACGTACAATATGCATTTTCATCAGCATGCTCTTTCTGTATGGGATCTGTTTGGCTAGTGAATTTGTGTAGCATATGTGAGTAGCAGAACCCTATGCCAATGGAAGAAGACTTTAGGTCACACAAGGACTAGGTGAGAGCCTTTCAAGTCTCCTGGAATCTTGTGTATTTCACTGTGTGGATGCTGTAGATGGGTTTGGTTAGTGCTTCTTCTTCTGGAGGTTGTACAAAGGCAGCACCTGGAGGGCTTGCTCAGCTCAAATCCTGGCCCCCACCCTTACATGTCATTTGTAGTCCCAGCAAGCTCCCAGGTGATGATGATGATGTTCTTTGGCCCCAAGTTGAGTAGCATGGAAGTATTCTGTTTTCAGTATTGTCTTCTGTAGTCTTATCTTCCAACTTCTAGTGGCATCTTCCTTTTGCCCTCACCTGCTTTCCTCCTAAGGTAAGGGAAGAAGTGGCCAAGGTGACCCTCGAGTCAGCCTAGAGAGGATTTATCCTTTATCCTGAAGGTCCCATGGCTTGGATGCCTTGTGGATAGGCAGTTTCGAGCATGGAAGATAAAAAGGTTTATTTCATGGCAGAACTTGAAAGCATCAGTAGACAACTCAGTAACCAAAGGTTTGCTGGATTTGTTGCTCTTCTTGAATCACTCTGCAAGGAGCAAATAAAAACAAGTGATAAATGTCAAACTTTAGTATTACAGATTTTCTTTTAGTAGTCTTCTTCATCTTGCTCTACAGCCTGTTGGATCCCAGTGAAGGCTCGCTGCTGGGGTGGGATTGAAGTCTGCAGAATACTCCAGGGTTAGGTAAATTTTCTAAGTCTAAACCACGCATCCTCAGAGCAGCCACTCTACAGAGATCTAAAACTTGATTTGGGGAAGATTCCTTACTGCCTCTTGGTCCTCTGGCAGGTAGATTCCCAGGGTGCTCACTGTAACAACAAAGCAAAAAACACCCCTGGCTCCCATATCCTGCACAGCTTTGAATAGCTGTGTGACCTGGAATTGGTTTCTTCACCAGCTGGCTGCAGCTTTTACCTCTACATGTTCTGGATCTAATCCTAAGCCTGGAAGTTAAACTTCTACCAACCAGGCAGGTAGGAGATGCAGGGTGTGGTGATCTACTTCCTGGCTGTATTGTAAATCTAAGGCCTAAGGTCTTGTTTAGCCTCATTGTAGTTGTCTCTGTGGGCTGTTAAGGGGGTCTCCTCCTATTGAAGAACTGCAAAGCCCAAGGCCCTGTCTGGCTAGGATAGTGGGTGGCTAATTCAGATACTTACAGTGGCCAGCAAGTTAAATAAGGGGAGTGAGCTGGGAGTGATGGTAGGGAAGAGAGGATTGCAGTGAATGGAGACCTGTGCTGTGTCTTTAGAGGACAGCAGCTAAGGAGACCCAGCTGACTGCTGCCATGTAAAAATGTTGCCTAAAGTTGCCAGATCCTTCAACTTGGCAGGAAATGCCAGAGCTCTAGGGGATTTCTCCCACCTCCCAGTGTGAGATAAAAAGTACTTTGGAAAGTGACTTCAACTATGGCTTATTGAGCCGGGAAGCAGAAATTTAGTTTATTGGCTATTGGTAATCATTTATCAATGTTCATCTGTCTTACATCAGAGGCTTTTGATCTGATTCCCCAGCTTGGGTTTACTTCAGTCTTTAGCAACAGATAAGGATTTGACAGCAGATATTTTAATACTTATCAAAATAGAACTCATGATTCTGTTTCAATCTTGTACAGAAATGGATCTAGAGAAGTATATTCTATATTGGATTCTATCTTTCTCTTGGCTTACTCCAACAATTAGATTAAAATGAAAGAATTTAACCCAAGGATACTATTGGCATATGGTAGGTACTAATACAAATCTACAACACTTGTAATTTGAGCATAGGAAAATGAGGAGTGAACACCCCTGGTTGAATGACAATGAGTCTATCTAGGGAACTGCTGTGATTCTAAATTTTCAGTGCTATCTTTCTTCAGAGACCGTGTTGAATCATTCTTCTGAAACGTGTAACAGCAAAAGAACAAGGTAAGGGCAAGGCAAAAGACCAACTTGAA